ATGCGGGAGACTGTGCGGGGAGCGATGAGGCAGGAGTACGCTGAACGACTGATGAGAAGACTCTGGAAGATCTAGATTTTGCAGATGGTATATGTTTAATGTCACACAGACTCGAAGAATTGCAGGCAAAAATCAACAAACTGGCTGAAGATGCAGGCAGCGAAGGCAAGACCACAGGTAAACATAAGGAAGACGGAGGTGATGAAGGTAACCAATCAACATCAACACCAATAACAACCAGCACTAATCACCATCGATAGGAGAAATTTAACAGAGGTTACCTCCTTCACTTATCTGGGAAGCGTCACTTCAACTACAGGAATTCGGAACGGATGAAGATGTCAAAGCTGACCAGAATCGGAATGGCAAGATACACACGCCTACATCAACCTGAAACCAGTTTCGAGATCTTCTGCACTGACTCACCATATAGAACAAGATTCACACTTTCAATAGCAGTGTCAAGTCAATCCTTCTTTACGAGTCAGAAACTTGGTCAACGTGTGACGAAAGGGGTTTTCAACAGGTCACCGCAGACTTCCATCGACAGTTGCCTTCTCCGGCTCCATACTGAAGATCAAGTGGTCAGCTTTCCAGAAGGAATTGGTAACAAGAAATTATGGCCGGGAACAAACTAATGAAGAGACGATCACTCAACTAATACGCAGGAGAGAATGGAGATGGATTAGCCATGCATTAAGGAGACCGTCGAATGGCATAGTGCCCAGTGCAGGCCATCACTCGAGTGAATCGTCAGTTCGGGAGTGATATGGAGGAGACCATGTGCAGAAAAGATGAGAGAGTTTGGTCAGTCGTGGACACAGATGAAGAGGATGGCAGAAAATAGAAGCAAGTGAGTAAGTGTTGTTGAAGCCCTACGTTTCACTCGAAACACAAAGGATTAATAATAATAACAATATAAGGTTCTCATAGTTATAAATGTAGTATTTGTTGTCGTTACAATAATGGCCAGTTATGAGGCGGGTGCATTTATTACGTAGAACAACAGATTAGAACAACACACATAAGCGAACAACATTGTTTTCAGTTAGATCTTCTTCAGGCTTTACACTAATTTACATAGATGATGTCACATCCCACCGTATTTACCAGTTTGAATGTACGTGTAGACACACTTACATAGAGAGGACTCTTCGATCTCTGCAAGTATAGGCTGGCCTCAGAGCATATCCCGAAATGGCTCCAGAAATAAATAGAATCTGCAGAACCCATTAATGGTGAGAACAGGCACAAACCTAGCTCCTCTACTGCGAAACATGTGATGGAGACAAGACATAAAATTTGTCGTTAACACATCTATTAAACCTATCTGCAAAACGCGTTTGGGGCGTATCCTAAAGTTTGTGGAAGCCCTACCTGGCAATTAGGAACCGTAAACCATCTTTATGCGTTCAGAAACAATTCGTCATCACACGCAAACTACCTTCTTTGGTAAACTTTGTTTTAGTACCAGCCAGGGTAGATGTACGATTACTTCTGCTATTTGGTTTAGTGATCTTCATTGTTATTCTGACCTTGAATACATCCTTTTAACTTGACCTAACTTGTCTATTTCTATATCTTACCTCTTAACTCTAATAATTTCATACATATTCCTATGACAAGTCCGTGTGTGATCAGATTGTTCGAAATGTGTATGCAAAGACTATGACTGTTCTCTTGAATTCCCAAGTGGACGGGAGTAGTGCCTTCAAAGTTATCTATCACATTCCATCGAGCTCTTCGAATGGATTTTGAACCCCCCCCCTTAACACGTAGCCGAAGTTATGGGAATTCAAGAGAACAGTCATAGTCTTTGCATACAAAAGAAGGTTGTTCTACCTTCGTCTCTCCCTTGCTTGTCTGGACAAACTCTAATCAACCCCCACCCTCCTCCACACCCTTTCCTATTTTCCATTTCCTTCGTACTTTTATGATATTTACCTGAACTCTGACTATCTGTCCACTTCATCTTTAGTATTACGTAACTGTTATGACTTGACCTAATTTATTTATTTATTGAATTGTCTACATATACACATATTACTTCCTTCGTTATTCCTATCGACGCCTGAATAAACCTTATTATTATTATTTTGTTATCATTATAATCATCGTTATGACTGACTTTCAAAACATTTAACACATTATTATTATTTGATCCACAAAATCACCATCATTGGTGAAAATTTTTATGCATAAATCTATTTAAAAATTTAAAACAATTAGTTTCCTTTGTATACAATTGGTGGATGGTGGCTAGCAGTGGAATCCAGGATGCGCATTTCGTCCTAATTGGGACTCGTCAGCTGGATGTACCTGCATTTCTCAGTGAGTGATGATGTTCCCACCGAGGCTCGAACCCAGTGCCCATAGTTTCAAACGCCAAAGCGTTATCCACTAGACCAATTGGGCCACGAGAGCCACCTCTTGTGCGACGGGTCATATTAATTATTGAATTGAATTTTTGATTTTCCCGTCGATTGATTGGACCGAAGTGTTCGGTCCCAGGTTGACATGTCGGCTTCTTGTGCAGATGCTTCGACGATGTCTGGGGAATTTGATTTGTATACAATTGGTGGATGGTGGCTAGCAGTGGAATCCAGGATGCGCATTTCGTCCTAATTGGGACTCGTCAGCTGGATGTACCTGCATTTCTCAGTGAGTGATGATGTTCCCACCGAGGCTCGAACCTCGTGCCCATAGTCGAAGCATCTGCACAAGAAGCCGACATGTCAACCTGAGACCGAACACTTCGGTCCAATCAATCGACGGGAAAATCAAAAATTCAATTCAATAATTAATATATGACCCGTTGCACAAGAGGTGGCTCTCGTGGCCCAAGTGGTCTAGTGGATAACGCTTTGGCGTTTGAAACTATGGGCACTGGGTTCGAGCCTCGGTGGGAACATCATCACTCACTGAGAAATGCAGGTACATCCAGCTGACGAGTCCCAATTAGGACGAAATGCGCATCCTGGATTCCACTGCTAGCCACCATCCACCAATTGTATACAAATCAAATTCCCCAGACATCGTCGAAGCATCTGCACAAGAAGCCGACATGTCAACCTGAGACCGAACACTTCGGTCCAATCAATCGACGGGAAAATCAAAAATTCAATTCAATAATTAGTTTCCTTGGCGAATTTAGACAAACGAATAAGAAGGCGTAATTTGTCTGAATCCTGTAATGTATTTGCCCTACACATTTCGAACAATCTGATCACACACGGACTTGTCATAGGAATATGTATGAAATTATTAGAGTTAAGAGGTAAGATATAGAAATAGACAAGTTAGGTCAAGTTAAAAGGATGTATTCAAGGTCAGAATAACAATGAAGATCACTAAACCAAATAGCAGAAGTAATCGTACATCTACCCTGGCTGGTACTAAAACAAAGTTTACCAAAGAAGGTAGTTTGCGTGTGATGACGAATTGTTTCTGAACGCATAAAGATGGTTTACGGTTCCTAATTGCCAGGTAGGGCTTCCACAAAATTTAGGGTACTCCAGAAACACATATTATTGATACGTAAACTTTGTTTTGATACCACAGCAGATGTACTATTACCTCTATTATTTGAGTTAGTGATCTTCTCTTTTATTGTGACCCTCAATATGTCCTTTTAATTAATATCAGTAAAAGGTTTGAGCGATAGTGTTTATCATTGTGTGTAAACTTTTGAAATATAATTATAATTTATTTCAAGATTTGGTTTGTAAGGATTAGATTTGTTTTTATGAATTGATTACGGATTGATATCAATGGTTCTGTCGCTCGCTAGTGGCTTGCTACAGGATGGAGTCTCCTGAAGTTCTGGTGAGAAGTTGGGCCCAGTGAGGTCCATCCAGATGTCACGTGTGAGGACGGATGTCCCACCGACGACATTGTTTGGGGTCGCGCTAAATCACGGATTGGTAGAAGCTAGAATTCATAGGTTGGCAATTGAATAGGGTCCCAGTGGCTGAATGGTATATGAACTTGCCTTGTAACCGGAAGGTCCTTGGTTCGAACCCGTGTGGTGGGTGCCTACTGTCGATGATTCGCAAACTAGGATGAAACAACCATCCAGTGCTCCCTGATTTTCAATGGTTCTCTAACTGATAAAACCCGTGATCAACTCGTGGAAACAAAACTAATCCTTACAAACAGATAATAGAAAACTATATATTATTGTAGCGCCAGCCGATGATGGGGGAAGTAATTGAAAAGGAATATATTTCTTCGCTCAGTCTGTTGTCTTTTCTAAATGCGTAAAAAAAATCTGGAAATTAAAATATAATCCCACACTGTGACATGCCTAAAGAATGCTATGAAACTGATAAATACACCAAAAAAATATTTTATATTTATATTTTTATATTTTTGATTTACAGCTTGATTCCACACTGTATTCTTGGTACAAGTATGGAATTTTCAGCATGGATATCGGTAGCCCAAATTTTGCAGGCCGACCATAGATATCAGGTCATGCAGTCAGTCTGACTGATTATTTCATATTAGTTTTCATATTTCTGCCATTTTATTGACTACAATCAGGTAGAATTCTTAATTGCATGCACGTCACTTCACGTTGGTCTGGCTGTAATGACTTGAATTTATAAAACAAATGACGTATGTATGCCTCTGACATCATGCTACTGAAAAAAGAAAGAAAAAACAATTTGCCTTGATTTCAACATCTTTTCAATTTCCCTCCAATCAAGCTGTGTATTGCAGTAATAGAGAAATTATTTTCTGTTGTCTCATGAACCTTTTGTCTTCACGCCATAATATTAACGTAGTTACTGTTTCACGTAGATCGCAAATAAGCTATTCTGACAAATCAGGTGATTACTAAAAATTTGTTTGTAATAGACCAAACATGTGATGGGCTTACATATACGAAAATGAAAACTATATTTTGATTGGTGCATCTCTTATGTGTCTTACAGATGTGTCTGTATCTCTATATATTCATTGGCTCATTAGAATTATAACTAGTTTAGAAAAATGTGACTAGAGTGAATGCGGATAATTCCATTAATAGTCTGAATTCTCTGTCTCATGGTTATCGCCTGGATAATTGTAGTTTCCTTATTCCATTTTGTAAATACACAGCCTTTTAGAGATTGCGGTAAGTTTATTTTTAATATTCATTGTAACATTGTACAGCTCGCTAATTTAAAGCGATAGTTAATTTTCAATTCTGTTCTTACTCTGTACAGAGTGAAGATATGGTTCATTGATTAGTCACTTGATTTCCAGCCAACAGGTTTCAGATTCGAATCCTGCCTCGTCTAACTGCAAAGTATCGTTAACCTTCACATAGTAAGTATGCTTCGTAGCCAGGTACATGGTAAATTGGTCCTGGGTAACTGAGTTCTCACTAACATTCTGTTGGCATTTAGTCTACCCAATGCTTATGAATAGTAAGCAAACTGGCCTCATCAACTGTTTTACTCTAACTCCATTATGGATAAGATTTTATTTTGATAAATCCCACAGTGTTGTACAGTTATATTGACTGATGACGTTTCGAACACAAACTATTTCTCATAATCATACTGGCTTGGTACGATTACGAGCAATAGTCTGTGCTCGAAATGTCATCAGTTAATATAACTGTACAACACTGTGGGATTTATCAAAATAAAATCTTATCCATAATGGAGTTATGCTCTACCACAGTGCCCAAGTTTTATACTTATATCAATGTTTTACTCAAATACAGTTGCATTTGTATGCCACTTCAGTTGTGATTAGTTGAGTAGATGAACATCCACTTTGGACACTATTCTTTACAGCCAGTCAAGAAAGTTTTTTTGTGACAAACTCCACTTCGTATCACATGGTGTATTGTTTGTTCCAAGTTGGAAGGTGATAGAAGATTAAATGGAACGCTGGTGGAACATAACCATCACCTCAGTTTTATAGGTAAAAGCATGGGGCATACGTGCACAAGCCCCGCCCAGAATCGAAATTGGGTTGCTGGATTCAAAATCCAGTCTACTGATCGTTACACCACCCGAAGAAATAAGGCCTAACGTTAACATATATATATATATATATATATAAAACTTGGGCCCTGTGGTAGTAAGTAATTCCATATTAGTTTGTTTATTAGATATATCACACAGTGAAACAGTATTATTTACTGGATGACGTTTCGAACATAATTTATTGTTCATAATCATATCAATTGTAATCACACGACTTTGAAACTTGAGTTTTATAGTTTTCTTTGTCTTCTCCTATTTATCGTAATGGTAGTAGAATTTTCCATATATCTGGGACAGGCGATGAATCATTCCTATTACATGTATTCACAGTTTATGGAATCAACTGTTTCGCTGTGATATATCTAATAAACAAACTAATATGGAAGGCCTAACGTTGACAGACGTTATGTATGAATGTAGACTTCAAAGGAGCTAATGCTTTAGGCAAGAAAGCCAGTTTCTGTATTCATTCAGAGACTACTACTCTTGGATTGTTAAATGGATATAACACTACATCTAGCGAAATAACATTTTCCTCTGAAGAAATGTGCATATATCGTCCAACGGAAGTTTCATTCCTAGACGACCGATTCGAATTGCCTTTTATTGTGGTAGAGTAATAGTAGTTCCATAAATAAACGGACCTGCTTCAGGGCAATGAATGTGGTGAGTGGTGGGTACTGATAAGTGTACCTGAGTTCCAGAGACTGGTGAAGAGTGAAGATCTGATCAATTCACTGTTATCTAGACCTGAAACCCAGCTTGTTTTCCTGAGTTCCTTTTAACTGAGTCCTGTTTACCTTTTCTAGTACTATAGCACCCAAAATTGTAAATATTACTTTAATCAAGCTGCCCCCTCCCCCGATTATTATCACAGGAAAATTTTCCTTTTTTTATGAACATGATAATACAGCTGTCTGTTAGTGACTGACTGATTGACGGGATTCAACATGGGACTTTGCACAGGAGTGCAACCGTTCGAGTTCGATGTAGCTTCACAACCTCGTTGACTGACGTACCGTCTAAACTCAGTGTTACTCACCATATCATTCCACTTAACACGGTAGCTAGAACTCTGACTCCTATGACCAAAGACAGCTAAACTTTTCATTTCTTCCATTTTCGGTGGCCATGTCTCACAGTCATAAAAGAGGATAGGTGATAGTACTGCATATTACACACATCCTTTAATCGATAGACGGATATCAAGTCTACACCAGAGATGGCGTAAGTCGGGAAATACCAGATGAGCCGTTTCTTTACGCGGTGATATTTCGTCAGCGACCAGTCCGTTGTGTCTAGTGCAACTCTCTAAATAAGTGAAGTGTTCAGCACGCTCAGCTACGTCACTCTCAATCTTTAGGCTAGGAGTTGACGTAGTCCAGCCCTGTAGCGTCATATTATATGTGACAGGAGCAGATCGCATGCTAAACATCCGAAGGTTGTTGTCTAAGTGGTTCACAAGACTTCGTTTAATCAGTCTTTACTTAGGTGGACTAGATCATCCACACGTTCTAAGTCAACAAGAATGTTTTTGTTGATAAAGAGAATACAAGCGAAATACAAATGTTGAGGCGATCACTCTTCGTCATTTCACTTCAATCTAAAAGCATAACTTCATTTATTAATTTAGTCGAATATAATCTTATGTCAGTTCGTGTAGTAACTAATATCACTATAGTAATAAAACTCAAGTTTGGTTCTGAAAAGTCCACTCTATTCACCTAGCTTGTTTTCAGGCACCTCACATTTGTCTAGTGGGAAACAGAATTTTTCACATGTCGGATTATTCTTATTGTAAGTATTCTCAGTTGGTTCGATAAATAAACCTTAAATATCAATCTCCTCATCTATTCTTCCACATTAAATTTTAAGACTGTCAGCTTGTCTCATCTTATTGTATGGTTGTATTTAGCTGCATATTGTACTATGTCTGTGCTTTTCTCTACATCTCTTGTCCTGTTAAGGTCTACTAATCTAGATTTCTCTAGGTTTTGCGCTCTGCTAACTTTTTAGACCCTTGCCCGTGTATTTGACCTGACAGTTATTGCAGTGTGTCACATAAAATAAATTATTTCGTATAGTGGGCACCACAGGATCTTGAAACTGACATAATTTGTTTATCAGATAGTTTGTGGGTTTGAATACCACTCTTATTCCTGCTTTGATAAGAATTCTACGCTTCAGGGGTTCACTGTTCGTATGGAAGCACTAATGACGCTTTAAATTCCCTACTGTTCGTGTTGTAATCTTCCCGTGTAATCTTGTCGTTCATGCCATCCACACTAATATTATTATTATGTTCTTAGAACTTGCTATATAGTTCCTGTCTAATTTGTCAGCTTAATTACTAAATGTCAAAGCATTTCACCAATCCTATTTTCACTGTCACATGGTGTGATGAACCGAAATTCAAATGTCTGTTTGAACATGCATTTAACTTCCCACCTTGCTTCTTTTTCATGATACCGTCTAACATTGAGAGATCCCCTTCCCAAGTTTCCAGTTCATAAGTGAATTGAATTGAATCTGTTTTTCAGTTGATGTGTTCGAAAGGCATATTTATATCTTGTATTTTTAGTACCGTGAATCCGTCATCCGCACGTAGCCCCACTATACTTCGGGGATGGGGTGGTTCGTTTCAGTTGCTAGGTTTCGCCACCTATCGACAAATACTTCTGCCACTGTTGACGATATCCGTGACCCTATGGCAACTCCCTCAGGTTTCCTAGGGACTATCATCCAGGCACAGCTTCACTACTAGCATGATGGCTTCTAGAGTGATACTTTGCTTTTAAGTCCGGGCTCTTAATCTACAGCCTAATTTATTGGTATTTGTGTATATAAACTAATTCTGTCGAAACCAACTGTTTTTTTTCTTCACCATATATTTTGAAATCATCCAATGTATGTTTATGTGCATAAGAATTAGTGGGTATAGACTCCGAACAGTCCCCAACTGGACTTAACACCATAGCTGAATATTTAGACATTTCATAAATAAAAGAATTTCTAAACCCAACCGTGGATCTACCACGATACCCTGGTTAATGAATTTTAACAATACTAGACATCCTACCGAGGTTATTGATTCTAGGTATCAAATTAAACCACTCAGACTCATGTATAAATGGCTTCATTCAGAGTATTAGGCCCGTTGTCGATTTCTTAACTTGATTAAAAGCAATGTCTACTGTTTTAATTTCTTCATACAGTTTTCTTTGTATGTAAATACTAACCTTCTTTAAATAGTCTGATTTGCGTGATACAACTTCTGAATTACCTTAAAGTTACTTAGTGCTTCCATTTCTGGTTTCGTTAAGTTAACTTTTACTTCGTTTCCGAAGTTTGATTGTTAGTGTACATTGTGCCACTAATTCATTCGCAGTTGTTTGATTTTCTGCATTTAAAGCTAATTCTAATTTTGAAATGACATCCTCAGGTTTCAATTCATCCAATGTTCTAGTGAGATTTTTCTCCAGTTTCCATTACTCCATTATGGATAAGATTTTATTTTTGATAAATCACACATCGTTGTTATACAGTAATGTTAACTGATGACGTTTCGAACACAAATTATTGCTCAAAAATCATATCAAGTTACTCACACAACATTTTTCTTTCATTTACATACATGAGTGGAAATGATTAGACATTTGAATAAAAATCAATGTAGGATAATGTACATTCACAAATAATAATATGGGTGTTATTGATCAACTACAATCAGATGGAAAATGAGACAAGTGTTTTTATAGTAAAAATAAGTAAATTGTTAGAATGTTGTGATGTGCTTGAAATGAAATAAATAATCTTAAAATTCTATTTCAATTCAAGTACATCACAACATTCTAACAAGTTACTTATTATGACTATAAAAACACTTGTCTCATTTTCCATCTGATTGTAGTTGATCAATAACACCCATATTATTATTTGTGAATGTACATTATCCTACATTCATTTTTATTCCAATATCTAATAGATTCCACACTTGTTTATAAATGAAAGAAAAAAGTTGTGTGAGTATCTTGATATGATTATGATTTTAATCTGTGGATGGTGACTAGCAGTGGAATCCAGGATGCTCATCTCGTCCTATTCGGGACTCGTCATCTGGATGTACCTGCATTTC